GCGTTTTGAAAAGTCGTTGATTGCAGAAAAATCGATCAAAATATATATTTGAAAAAGTCGATATTTTTTTATATTGTATAAACAAAATTAATCGTTTTTGGAAAGAAATTGTATAGCATTCATAATATTCAAATATATTGCGTGATGTTATGAAATTATTTTGAACTTAATTTGTGTGATTATGAAAAATTATATATATTAAATGTATTGTTTTTTAAATAATTATCTTAAATTTTACTTCAAATACGCCAAGAGATTGATTTATCACTTGATCGTTACCATCATGAAACAACGACATATCATCAAAGACCTACAACTTTACTGTCACGCATTTTCATCAATTTACAAAATATGATTCTGATTTTTTTTTGAATTAATTGAATATAGTCGAATATAATTAATATAAGCATCGCACGAGTCTTCCTTTCTTAATGTTTTTCTTAAATCTCATAATATGTTCGATGCGTTGACCGATTGCTAAAATCTGAAAATTGCATTGTGCACTGATAACTATGTCACATATTTAATTTGTGACAAACTAATGAAATAACAAAAAATATACTAAGCATTTTGAAATTTTGCGAATCAATAAGTGCTACTTTTGCAATCGATCCGCGCATAAGATATACTAATTTAATAGCTGCTTCCAATGTGAAAATAGTAGAACTCTAACATAAATCAGATTTGCCTACATGGATCATCTCGACAACAATGCCTTTGTTAGACTTAGTGTTTCACAAAAGGTTTAATGGTTTACCAAAAGGTGTAACCGCCTTCTGTTCCTCCTCCTAGAAAGTTCTTCTTTTGCGATATAGCCACGCTATGACTTGCCATTGCAGCTAATTGGGCGGCATTTGGAACTGTTGGGGGTGGTGGCAAGACAGGTTGTGAAATACTATCGAATCGATTAGTAGCATCGAACCCATTCTTTAGAACAATGCAACAAATTAGTATTCTCATTAAATATCATAACAAAAGTATATATTTAATAATAACTTACAGGCATTACGAGTGTAGGAGGCCTAACTGGAGGTTGCATTGCCGCTGCGGGATAATATGCAGCAGCTGCAGCTAATGGTGGATAATATTGCAATGGACCATATGCAGGATAACCCGCTAAGTATCCTGGATATCCTTGACCATACATTGGCTGATACATCTACATACAGATTAATTAGAGATTTTGAAGAAAATTTCTAACGAATGGTACGTGTCTTTCATAAAAAATTATAATCAATCATTCCAAATGTATTATTTTTTAAATAATTATCTTAAATTTTACTTCAAATTACGCCATTTATAAAATCAATTGATTATAAAATATTTACCATTGGATGGGTAAGAGTTTGATCATATGTTGGCGGTGGTGGGCCTTGCGCGGCATATAGTTGTGGTTGATTAGGAAATACTCCATACGGTGCGGCACCTGCAACTATTACAAAATTCGTATATAATCGATTCATTGGAATTTGAAGGAATTGGCGCAATACGATAAATAGATGATTCTCTCTTACGTGTACTACCGTAAGTAGCAGGCTGTGCCGGCGCAGGGACAAAACCTGTTGGTGGATGAGGTGTCACCGGGTATGCTGTAACACATGCAATGGAAAATGCAAGTCCGTTCAGTTTGTTGGCCGTAGGTTTGATCTAAGCCAACGGTACGTGGTACCACTGCTAGGAAGGATAAGAGACAACATGAATTATCGAACAACAGGCAATATTGGAACTATTCATTCGCTCTCGATTTTATATATTATGCATTTTATAAGGTTCCTTTTCCATTTCCTGCTGATCGTGTTAATTCACATCCTCATCATCGAGACATTTTTGACGCTGATCATATATATATATATATATATATTATATATCATTAATAGACGAATATCTTGTTCTTTTTTTCAATTTAATTAAATTTAATTTATACGAATGCGCGTCGAATATGTCTTGATTCCAAAAGTGGTACTCCCACACCCAAGTATATCTTACACATGACATACACCGTTTTTATCAAGGTACTATTCAAAGCTCAAACAATGTTAGTCACTAAATAATGGTGAAAAGAAATAACCGAAAAAACGGTATCGTTGCCTTCTTGTTACCTTTAGAGTTTACAGCAGTTCAAAATCTTATATATTCATACAAGTGGAAAGAAAAGTTGCAATAAATACGTGTTAAGAGAAAAGAAAGAACTAATAATGCATATCTGCGTAAACTTCAGTGGTACAAGACAGGCTTCGTAGTAAAAACATTTACGACTCTTTCGAAAATCCATATCCCATCGACATTTTTTATATTATATCTCGAACAATTGCTGACATTTAACAGGCTTGTATAATTTCAGAATTTTATTTTCGAGGATTCTCAAAAGAAACGTAGTTGAAAGCGAGACACTTGAGAATAGCTTAGCGAACTATACTTCTGGTACCTTAATTGTGAATAAATAAACAACAGCACGTATATATATGTATATACATATATGTATATATATATATGTATATGTTTGGAATCTGACATGGAGCAATCTGTGGTACATCTTGTCACTAGTATAAAGTAAAATTAAAAAGTCTCGAGTAATGTTTTTTTTCTGTTTATTTTTTTTTTTTTTTTTTTTTAAACAGACAAAGAATCGCGTGGAAAAAAAATATAATAAAAAAAATATGCAGAAGAGCTTCCTCGAAT